CCCCCTTCTCTCTTTTATTAACATTAGCCATATTGTGTAGCTGCTTCAGCTAACGCCGACGGTTGTTGCTGTTTGTCGGATAACAAATGTTTCGCAGGCGGTCGAGTTTCAGGTAAACAAAGAAAAAAAACCGAAGCTAAAGAAAGGCCAACCGTAAGAAACGGTTGACTCACGCGCTTCTTCTGTTTGTAGTTGCGCGTGGACAGTTCCACGAGCTCGGACCACACGGTCGCCAGGTCCATTTAAAACTATTAAGCCCAGGCTGCTTTTACGGTAGCTAGCATGGCAAAACTCGGAGGAATAAGTGTCCAGAAGGCCTACATACGCTCATTCACACCCTGCTGCTTCAGCTGCCAGCACGCTTTACTTTCACACAGTAAGTTTAGTTTTTATTCGGGCTGTTGTAGATGCGTGTTGGTACCAGTTTAGTCAAGGCCTGGAGGTAGAGGTACTATTGTTATACCTGGCTTCTCTTATGCTAATAGTCTGTCCTCAGTTTCAGAACGTGTGTGCTGTCTGTTTAAAGCTGTTTAGTTAGACATAAACCAATCAACAAAACCTGGATATTCTAACTTGAAAGGCGATCTTCATATGCCTGTGTAAGGTTGCATTAGTTATAGCGTTGTGCTAAATCGTGGTGATGACAAACTACAAAAAGTTAAAACTCAAAACAAAGCAGACTATATTAAATTCTTGAATGCACTCCTGTGCGACACAATGACTGTCTTTATTAAAGCTTGACCTGTATGTATTCAGGAAATCAGAAAAACAGGCTGTGGTTTAAGTTCAGGTGGGCCTGGTCTAAATTGAGCCTTACAATAGAAACAAGTGTCTTGATGCATGTTCAGTGATGTCCAGATGAACAGAATCAACTTTCCCGGATAGAAACAAATGTTTCCTTGGCTCAGGAAATCCGGCGAGGCCTTTCCTTCTGCATTTTAATCAGCTTCAAACCATTTGGGGGGCCCACGAACCCTAAACAAACCCAGGCTAGGATCCCAGCCCAAATACACCCCTCCACAAGCCGTCTTTTATACTCCCTGTGGGTATGTTTGTTTTGAAGTCCAAATGAAATCAGGGACGACTTCTTATTGTTCTTGCATTTTTGATTTGCCTGCTAATGTTGCATGCGTTGTAAGGTGGCCCTGTGCGGTGGGAAGGAGGGGGGGGGGATGGTAAACTCCTGGCACAGAGAGTGTGCAAATTAACATGTTTCACTCTCCATGAATGCTGGACAGCCATCGAAAAAGAGATTGTTTACATTCAGATGCTGGCCACCCACTGCTTGCTTTTTCTTCCCTCCTTGCTTTCCAATCACTAAAGAGACATGACCCATTTAAATGGTTGTTTACTTGCATTAGAAGAAAGGCCAAAGCACTGCTCAATGAACTCTTGTCTACAATTCAATTAGAGTGGCCTTCCCTGCAGCACCATTTTCCACATTACACAATGCTCTCTACAGCTTTGCTGCAACATGGGCAGAAACG